ATGTTAGTTCTGATTTGGGGGGCATATATAAACTGGGTATAACATTTTGCAGTGGATTTGGATAATACTTTGAAGCAGAATGTCCTTCTGTATATATGTTTCTGTTATTGGTTGATGAATAAGACCCTGGACAATAGAAGTAAGAAGACAGGTGGGGCTAGGAGACAAGGAGGTTTCTGGGAATGGTAGACAGAAAGAGACATCGAGAGGACACCATGAAGCAGAGGAAGGAGTAAAACGTCCAGACCCTTCTTTGGTAAGATAAGACCACGTGGAAATGCTTAGATTAATAGAAATGGGGTAATAATTAAGAGAGAAAGAGAGCTAGCCAATAAGAAGCCCTATCTATAGGATAACAGTTTTATAATTAATATAAGTCTCTGTGTGTTCATTTGGGGCTGAAGTAGGCAGGACCCAAGCAGGAAAGAAACTCCAGCAAAAAAATTTCCTACAGGGAGAGTTTAATCTTTTTCTGGAAACTAAAGTTGATTGGTTTGGCCTAGTCCAGATGTGTCTGTTTTAGGCTTCTCCTTATTCCCTGAAGATGGCCTTTTAGTGTTCAATTCAAAACCTGTAAAAAAGAAGAAGAAGAAGAAGAAGAAGAAGAAGAAGAAGAAGAAGAAGAAGAAGAAGAAGAAGAAGAAGAAAGAGGGTTTGTAAGGAGGAAACAGGAAGGGGAAATGTTATAATTATACTATTATCTCAAAAAGAAAACCACTGTGGATTCATTTTTCAGTTTCCCTTCATTTGGATAAGCTTTTTATTTTTGTGTCTCTGACACTGAGACAAGGACAGATTCACTTAGTTGTTTAGCCTTTGTCTTCAAGTTATAAATGCTTCAACTTTTATATTCAGACTAGGAGGCTTATTTATTTCTTGGGGAATTTTCTTTTCTTCATTGTATGTCCCCTCATGAACATTCTGATTGCCATGATAATTACTGTGTCCTAACTTTTGCTTTCCTAAGCCTATGAGACTACCAACTCTTTGGTCTACCTCTTTCCATCTTATCTTGGATAGGTGATGTGACAAAACCCAAGTCTTCAGAGGAAAGATAACAGCCTATTAAAGACTCTACTTGAAGTCTCCATGGTTCCTCACTCTCTTTTGTCTGTATTCAGCTGTTTTGAATTTCACTTAGCATTCAAGATTATTTTTAGAAGAGTATTTTGTTTGATTCCTGGTGTTCCACTTCAGACAGGAGTAGAGGTCTACAGTAGACTTTATTTATTTTACACATTAGTTTTAAACTAACACTGGGCACCTTACTAAGCTTTATGAACTTGATTTTTCTCCTTTCTGAATTGATTCAATATCTTGCTATCTTTAGGAGAAATAAATAAAAACAGTATGATGTGGTTAGTGTGGCTCTTTATATTTAGAAAGCCAAATACTTTTAGATTATTTTAATAAAGGACAGCTTTAATGCAAATAATATATCATTTCACATATATGGATCACATAATATTCCAAGGTGTTCAGTACCATACAGTATCAGAGGGAGTTTATATCAACATTATACATTTACATAGCAGATGATGGAGATTCAAGATAATGTCCCCTGAAAAATAAAGGATTGAACAATAAGTAGGGATGGGGTCAAAATAGCAGGGCTTAATGCTAAGAGAGACAAATGTTTTACATTAAATTATTTCTACAGATCTGGAGACCAGAAAGCTCTAGTTCAAGGTTCAGACTGTTTGATTATGGGTTCTTCGTCCAATCTCATGCTTGTGACTGTATATAAGCATTCTCTTTTTGCCCAGTGGTCTTATCCCTGCTGTTGGCTTCCCAGTGAGCACTTCAATCTAAAAGAGAGAGAGAAAGAGAGCAAGTCCAAGCAGACGACATACTTTTTATATAACCGAATCAATCTCTTTCGCTGCATCCTACTTATTAAGTGAGTCAGTGAGTCAGTGAGTCACAGAGTTCAGGCCATAGTCAGAGAAGGCGTCTTACATTAATTGAGTGTGAACATTAGAAAATGGCTATCTCCTGGGCCATCTTAGAGGATGAGAATTACAGAGCATCAAGTATTTGCAACATTTCAGGGAGGTAAAATGTTAGCACAAGGAAAGGACATTTCAGTCAGGCAAGAATAGAAAAATCTTTTCTAACATGAGAGATGATTATCAGCTGATAATACTGCCCATCCATTAGTTTTGTCCCATCCAAGAAAGTCCACTGGGATTTCTTGATGCTTAGATGAAAAGTTACATAACCAGGCTGATTAGTTTGAATTCTGGGTCTGCCATTTGCTACCAAGGTATCCTTGGAAAAGTCACTCAGCCTCCTTGCTATAATTACCTCAAGATTTTTATTGCAAAATGGAAATCTGGTTCTTGTCAGAGTGAAATAATATAAAAACACCAAGTATTATGGAACAAGGCTTGTCCACTGGAAGAGCTCAATAAGTGCTGGGTATTCTTATTTTTCTTAACCATCAAAGAAGGCATTGCAGTCATAGGCCATGCATGTTCTTCTATGGTTCTGTTCCTGAATACTCTCATTTTCAGGTTCAGGAGCTAAAATGCAAGCCTTCTCTCTCTGTGTAAGAGTAAGATAGGCATTGCTGAGCAGGCTACACTGCTCCAGCTTTCTGAGATTCAAGAGCATCTGGAAGCAGTTTTCCAAGATATTACTGGTGTCTAAAGCACAGTAGCACTTAAAAATGTTTTTGTTTCCCATTTCTTCCTCTGCATATATTTATAATTAAGTAGGTGTGAAAAGACATCTTTACATTGGCTTTAAAGGCAACATAGAGTAACATCTGCTGACTGAATGGCTCAGGTGCTTTCTAAGATCCAGGGAGGAAATGGCACTCCAGAAAATTGATTGCCAACTAACAAGGGAATTTAATCTGTGCAACTAGCTACAAAAGGCAGTTCAGGGTTGGACCCAATTTTCTCAATTATCTGCCAGCATAAGGGGGAATCAGGCCTGTTGATTGAAATGTCCTGAGAGTACAGACTGTGTCCCCATACTTCTCAATACATTTTCTCGACTTTGTTTTCCTGAAGGTTAAAATGCTATTAACTACAAGTGTTTTCTCCTTGGGCTGTTGATCTAAAACTTCACAAGATTTACATCGTTACAGAACTTTCCACTCCTCTCAGGCAAGTTCTTAACAAATAAAAGGAAATTTGCCCCTTCAAGAGTCACACAAATTAACAAGAAGGGCATGAATCACTCTGGTTGTGACTGTATTTTCACTATGGATGACTCTGCTGGAGTGTGTAGCCTGCACAGTTGGATGAGTATAGATATACTCTCCACAACTATTTCATTTAGAGAGTTAGACTTCTTTAGAAGCTTAATTTTCCCCCATTAACTTATTAAGCATTGAAAGTGAGAATCAAGAATTGGAGAGGAATATTCTCATTTCAAGAATAATCATGGAAGAGTGAACAAAAAAAGAGCTTTACATTTCTGAACTAAAACAAAAATTGAATGGGACAATATAATAGGAGTCTCCAGCTCAATAAATAAGACTATTAATGAAAGTCTTTAATGATTAAAGACTTTAGTTTGTAATATCCTGAAAGATTCAGAACACTAGTGGACTAGTTTTTGGCATCAGAGTTTGAGTTATTGTTATGTGTCATTAAGGCATTGCAAACTATTAATTACATAGTTGTTTTCAAGGTTTTCCCAAAAGTATGTAAAGATAGTAGAAAATAGTGACCAATCACAAAACATACTGAAAAGGGGTATAATTTCCTTTTTTAAAAAATAGCAATTGGCAATCTAATCTTTGTTAAGTTGCTTTTAGTTGTAATTATTTTATAGATGACTAACATGAGTTAGTTTGTAACTTTGTTCAGTGTTTTGTATTGCAACTGGAACTTTCCATTATCCTGCTAGGTAATGGGCAAATGCTGGGAGCTACTGGGCAATCAAACCTAAAATGAAGGACAGAAGCATAATCAAAACAGGCTTTACTTTTATTTCAAAGCCAATGGTTTAACAACAGCATATCATATTCATATTCATACACACACACTCAAATAGCCACCACACACACACACACACACACACACACACACACACACTCATATACATATACATATACACACTAACAGAAATACACACATTCACACATCCTCTCTCCCTCCCTCTTCACCCCCCTCACACACACACAGTAGAACTCTTCCCTTCTCATTGGCTTGACAAAGAAGAAAACAGTTCTTAATTTAAAACATCCCTGCTTTAGCCCCTGAGTGTCCCTTTTAATAGAGAATACATATTTTATCTTTAAGTGTGAAATTTTCATCAAATTTCCTTTCAAGATAGAAGAAAATTATTATTTCTTGAGAAAGACCAGGGCCACTGGTCTCTGTTATCCTGTTGTTTGCTTGTGAACTAAAGTTACCTAAAATCTGTACCTTCTAGGCAGAATGACTGATTAGAAATTCAATGACTGTGTAGAGGTCAGAATGTGCAGGTCAGAGTCTAGTTACAATTTATTTTGTCCTATTTTTAGCTTTCTTAATAGCAATTCAGGGCTCATCGTGCATCAGACTTAACATCCTTGTGACTATCTCCTGAAACCCATTGGATTTATTAACAGACAT